GTAACGTAGGGAGGTAACGCGTTCATTTTATTCGCAAGTAGGGAGTAACGTATTTCGTTACCTTTTTTTTGGTAACGCCTACAACACTGCCGTTCCGTCGCCGATCCCCTCCTGCCTGGTAGCACGGGCGTAGCGAGCCTCCGACGAGCGCTTGGTCGGTGCTTTGTGCGCGAACACCGTGGGACCGAAATCCCGGAGGTCTCGATCAGACGACGAATTTCCTGCATATAAGCAAGCCTCAGGACGGAGATTGAAATGGAAGCCACACTTGCGTTCAAGAAAATGCTTGCCGCACGAACGGTCGTCCGCCCGAGGCGACTATTATTTTCGACGCACAGATATTATCCGCCTTTTGCGCCTTTCAGAGTCAGCAGAGAACTTGGGGAAACCCACCCCGCTACTTTGCTGTACCTTTCGGTGCAACTAACGGCTACACATCTTTGCGGCATGCTGAAATGCTATGACGCCCATGCAAAACGTGCGCCCTTTTGCCCACACCACACGGCTCCGGCGCGATATCAGCGCCGCCGCAGCTCCGTGACGTCAAGCCCGCGTGTCGGTCTATATCAGCATCGAAACCGCACTCGCTGCCTACGTGGTAGGTGTCTATGACGACCTGGTAATCAGCGTGAATGTGATTATCCTATCCTGCTCGTTGGTCTTGCGACTTCGCCGCGCTCTGAAAAAAAGGAGGCGCAGGTTTTGGCAAAGGCCGAGTTGGTTCTACCGAAACACCGAAGGACAGGTCAGTGCTTTGCTGCCCCGGCGGCGCGCCAGAGATGAAGGCTACTTTCGAAAGTGTCACGAAATCCACGCGACATCCGTCACAACACAGACGCCATGCAACAAGCGCCACGGAGAAACTCACTTGTAATTCCGGATTCCTTTCCTATAATTTCCCAGCGGTTGTTCATGGCGTCCTTATCTAGGTAGTCTGGCTGCGTCTTGTCATATAAAAAAGAAAACAGTCGCACAGTTTTAAGGAACGGCTCCTTTGAGGAAGGCTTCGGGGAGAAATAGGGAGAGCAGACGACGCGAAACAACGCTAAGTCCTTCGGAACGTGAAAGACGCGCGGAGGGCCGGCATGAGCGTTGCCAAGGCATCGAACGTCACTATCTACGGCACCTCCCATTGGCTCCTCTCTTCTGCGTGAGGAGCGGCGTGCTCTGAACCGCGCAAGGAGCGGTTGGCTCTGCGGCGGTGTGCCTCGCCCCGCTGAAACCGAAAACTGGTTTTGGTCGGCAGCCGACCGCGCTGACCGTCGCGGCGCAGGCCTTCGGGACGCCAATGTGGTCGTGCCTTCACCCCTCCGAGCGCTGGTTCGAAATGCGTCGAGGGCTCTGAATTTTCGCTTGTCACGTCAAGGAAGCCTGCCTGTTTCGTAGTAAGCTAGAGCGCGTGCAGACCCGAGAAGTATCATGGGAACCCATTCAACGTAAACATTTTGAGATTCTAGTTGGTCAAGTGTGCATATGAACCAAGTTTAAATGCCTAATTTTTGGAATTTAATTCGGAGCATGAATATTAAAACCCACTCGAAGACACCGGAAAGTACGGACCAAAAACATCGACTGAATGCACCAGAAGGTTAGCAGACGCCCGATTTCCGGGACAAGCATCAAACCTCCTGTGGCTTTCTATTGCGCCCTGGTCGGAGAGCGGCTATGCGCCAGCCCCCTCTGACAGAGATCAGTGGGCGAACTTGTGCCGAGAAACATAAACAAAGACATACCTTGACGGCGACGGAAGGACGACTAACTCGAGCAGCCACGCGAAGCTCCTCTTGTAAGCGCGTGGGTATCTAGAAGTTTCCGGGCTCGATCGAGCAACAAAATTCTCGACTTATGTGGGGAATTTCAGTCACGCGAACGAAAGAAAGATAAAAGCGACAGGCGCTGGCCGGTGTCGAACCCCAGACAGCGGCGTGGGCACGCTGCTGACTCAGCTATTCGCAGGTGGCAGTATCACTTACCTAAAACGCGTCGGTCGACTCACGAAAGCTTCGGCAGCCTACAATGGGAAGCCGTGACCACAAATTTATTGCAATAAACGATATAGGCTCAGCTGGCGCTAGTGTCTACGGGACTTCCGGTTGCAAATTGAAGCAGACAGCAACCCGTCTACTTTTCCAGCCTTCCTGTGTATTCTATGCGATAACGTACGTGATATTTTTGTCTTCGCCAGGGAATGATAGAAATCAGCGTAGTTTCTTTTGTCGTAACGGGTACTATATAGTTTTATTTGCATTATAAAAGTGTAAGTTATTTAGGTAATGCTCTTTTTATTACTCAGCGATGTTTGAGTTAGCAAACATTGAGGTCCAGGTCTATGTTGTACAGCATGATATGTCAAGACAAGCTATCGATTCAAGCAACCAAACAAAAAAATTAAAAAGCAACAAAAAAAAACCAAAAAAAAAGCACTCGGTCACTGTTTTATTTTGGTCATTCATGCACAGTTTGTTACTAGTCCAGTACGTGTCCTTCGTTCCATAACTCCATGCTTCGCTCTCTTCGTCTGTTTTGATTGTTAGATTTTGCATATCATCTTTTTGGTGGTTTGTCAAGCTGATTCACTCTGTGTGCTTCATAGCATTGGCTGTATGCGTAAATACGTACGCAGTGTTCGACGCCTGAATTCTAACGAAAAAACGCTCAACTGATGCGTATTTTTGTACATCCGATTGTAAAACCTTCCAAACTTTTTATTCCGTCAGAGCACTCAGCAATATTGGCTTTTATAATCGAGCGCGAAGAGAAAACTCATTTGCGTTTTCCCTTAGGAATGCATTACCGGAAGTCAAATTTATACTGGTTGATGTCTGCTTCAAATGCAACAGCACACTAGTGCCACCTCAACCTCTAGCATTTATTGTTAAAGGGGCACTGACACATCAAAATCATATTTTTTTTTATTATCCGAAACGATTGAAAACGATGCCGGGACATTACACTCAAAATTTGAAATTTGGGAATTCAGTATCTGTGAAGTAAAAAAAACGATTTCCAAATGCCGAATTCGAAGTTCCCGCGCGATCCGCGCCGGTGCGTTGACGTCAAATATTGCGGAGTCCTGAGAGTTCACTTTCTTTCACGACTCCCTGCTGTTGCCATGGCGACCCAAAAGCGAGGATAAATTGAGCGAGCGCCGGCCGCCGGTGGACCGGTTTTGAGCGGTGTCGTCTGTTTTCCGTGGGTTTTCCGTGGCAAATCCAGGAGACGGCACCACAACGCAGTCCCGATTTTTGGTATTTCAAAAAGAACGGCCGTAGTGCGTTCGCAACTGCGTTAAAAAACATGTTTTAGGATTGCCGTTATTAAATGGTATAGAGTTGTCGCCTACAAAGCTTCTAAATTTCATGATTCTTGACGTCACGAATGAAAACAAGCGAGGAGGCGAGAGGCGGGAGATTCAAACGCCAAAAATAAAAAGGCGCGCGCGCACGCGGGAAAATTTTTTTTTTTCGCGATGCGTTTTTTTTCCGTGTCTATGACTGCAACTTGCATCGTTTTAGACAATAAAAAAATACAATTTTTTGGGTGTCAGTGCCCCTTTAATAACTCTATGGCCATGACTACAGCAGCAGTCGCGTTTGCTTCGGCTTTTTTCCGGAACTTGCGCGAATACCCACCAGGATTGCGACGTCCTATAGCGTGACATTCCGGCTTGTGCGACACGATTCGTTGGCACTTCGGAACCGGTGTATGGACGGGATTAGGCACGCCAGTCTAAGTCGCGTTCGAGTGGTTCCAGGCGCCACGACCGATACGAAGGGCGAAGTAAGAAGGGACGCGATAAACCCCGCCCTGCGTTTCTTAATCTACGACTAGCTCCGCCCCACGCCAACTCATTGCTGCCGAGTCGCCCATTGACTGCACGGGGCGGTGCAGCCTGGGCGTTTGCCAGCTGGTGCGTCTAAAGTGCGCCAAAAGAAACTCACAGATGAACTAGGTTATTTCAAGAAGCCAAGAAACGGATCGTCAGTCTTTACAGGAGTTCTGTGTTCTTAATATTTACTAGGCTAGATATGCCCCGAAAGTAGGACTTAGAACGACAAGTTAGAAAATATTTGCCTCGTATTAAAGTGGAATAACTAGCGGAATGCGCCAATAAGACAAGTATTCTTCGCGTCCAACGCGTGGTTTTGTTTTGCAACCATTTTTAATCTTGTTAGTTCCTTCTTTTCTCTGCCAAAATAAATTTAGTGCAGTGATTCAAATAAAAGTTAAAAATGTAAAAACCAAGATATACTAGGTGGACAGTCATTTAAAATTGAAATTTACTTAATTGTGTTACTTTAGAGGGATCCTTTAGGTGTTAATACAAACCTTTTATTAATTCCTCTAAACCTTCAGTGTGCGCAGGTATAGGTATCACTTGTTTCCGTGCATTAGTCGCTGCGAATTCTTTAAAAAAAACCTTAAAAAATTACTAAAGCATTGCTATTTTTTTGGAATGTCAGATTTAGTTGATCATTCGAAATGTTTTCCATTTAAGTCAAAATTTTCACATGCACCGCAGCTGCCTCGTCCGACGCGCGAGCCTTTATGGCTTACCGGGGCATTAAGTTATAAAAAGTATTTAAATATTAATTGTATTGCCAATTGTATTTTATCTTAAATATACACGATGGAACTCTGTAAATGAAGACTCCGTGAAAGCTTGTTTTGTCACTTGGGATCTGCGATATTGGGGCAATGCAGTGGAGGAGCGATGTGGCCAGTGTCATATTAGTCTTGACCTCGATTGGGTCTTTAAAGTTCGTCATGCAGTGGTGATTAAACAACAGCGCTAATCTACTGTGCTTACCCCCACAGACAGGGGAGACGATTAAATGTCGTAAAAGCAAAACCGAAATATGAAAGATGAACTCATATACATTTTCAGACGGGAATAAGTGGAGCTAGTTGGTTAACATTATGTTGAGCTTCTCCCACCCAATATATGACACGTTTCATGGAAAGCGGCACTCTGATCCAGCACGGACGGGTCTATGCAGGATCTCCGGAACAGAAAGCTCTGGTGCTGGGCGGTGAAGCCTGCATCTGGGGCGAATGGGTGGACGCAACCAACCTGATTAGCCGCACCTGGTAAGAACGTAGAGTTGGTGCTTACTTAGCTGTTCACTGTATTTCCCATGGCTGAAATAAAAAAAAAATATTTGTTTACTACATTTATTATGACCGAAAAACATGGCATTTCTTGTCTGTTGCGAGCTGGCAGTGTTGGCAACTCGTTAAATCTGCGCGAGAGATAAAGGTTTGTGTTGCAATCGTAACGTAACCTCAACTCCTAAACGACCTAAACAGCGATTTTGAAATTTTAGTGATCGACGTGTAGCTTGGAACTTTTCGGAATATATCATGAACATTTTTATTGATGTGGTCACCGTGTATCCATTTCGATTCCATTCGAGAATATTTGATACCTCTCAGGCCGCGGGCAAGTGCTGTAGCCGAGAGGCTTTGGAGTCCGGCCACGTTAGTGAATCCTGACGCTGCTGCCGCAAGGTTCGAGGAGCATCGCTGCAGAATGCTCAGGTGGGTGAGATACATTCGCGTATTTAGGCGTTCGAACTGTTAGTCATATATATGTTCTGCAGGCTTCCAGTTTACGCTACGCGGCGATCATCTCTGGTGAATATTCGCCATGTATACTCTTGGTCACGCAAGGCTTGGTATCGGAAAGAGCAAAACTTGATTGATAACCAGAGAGCGCAGATGAGGATGAATGCGACACACAGTTCTACAAGTTAACACACAAAACCTGATTGAATAACCGCTTCGACTAAAGAGTAAGTTCCGGCAAAATGAGTAAAATAACCGTTAATTTTCGAGTCAAGCTTCTATCAAGGGGCCATATCTCGTCTGCACCACGAACAAAGTGTGATGATGTAAAATGCAGTTAAACTTTAAAACAACATATATGGCTCTATTCAACATTTTCGTGTAGTTTTAGTGAGAAGATTTCTATTCAGTCTTTTACCGGAGAAAATAGAGAGGGTTCCCAAGAAAAACGAACTGCGCTTTAGACCCAGATAAATGAACTAAGCATTACAGAAACCTCAAACTTCGGGAGAATGTGACACTAGCGGTTGGTAGAACGTGGAAGTTTGAGAACATAACATCACCTGGATTAATAGATAAGTGAGAAAAATGAAACTTCTTTACAACTAACCTCCAGCCAAGCCTAATATAATCCGAACAGGAAATGACACTGTGGGGGCCTGTAGTATCTATTTATGTGAAAAAAAAACTTAGTTAGCCTGAAAGAAAACAATATCCTCGTTTTTGCTGAAGTTTTCTTCTTTTTTTTTATTCACTGAAATAGATACTTTATGCTCCCACCGTGTCATTTCTTGTCGGCTCCTATAAATATAGTTTTTGTAAATTTTTTATCAAGGCAACTTCATGTTTTCAAACTTTCGCGTTCTATCCCAGGTGCCAACGTCACGTCCTCACGGAGTTTGAGCTTTCTGCGATGCCTAGTTTGTTTACCCGAGCCAAAAAACAGGATTCTCGTTTATTAATTAACAACCCCCTCTATAGTAACGCGATAGCGTTCAGGAGCTCCTGCCGCAGATAATCCGTCGTCGGCGTCGGTGGAACCAAAATATTCCGGCATGCACCTGGTGACGTCACGTGGGACGTCACGAGGGCCACATTTTCCCGCTATATCTGGCGGGAAACTTTTGCGCTGAATTTGGCAGAAACATTTGCCGATAAATTTAAAAGGTCGATAGGGTGATGACATCACAGCCATATCTGACGTCACGCGTGACGTCACACGCAACGTCATGCGTATGACGTGTGCCACATGACCTTGGGCAGGAATTTCACACAACCCACAACGCTCATGTGTGACTTCACGTGACACGTGACGGTACTAACTAGAGTACGTATATGCACTCTTGCACGCCTTGAGAACGAGAGCGGATTTATTTGAAAGGGCTTTGCGAACGAGGCCCGACAACGCTATCGTGTTCCACTCTTAAAGGCGAAGCTTCAGCGTCCCCCTGGATTTGGTATTTCCTAAAACCGGGGTCACACTGCTCGTGCATCATACAAAAAGACAGTCTGCAAACACGACTTACCGCAATATTCGTGGTTCAAATGCCGCGTGCCAAGTTTATCCTTGAACCCATTGCCATGTGGCATTCAAAGCAGATATTTCAGGGTGACTCGCGTTCGAATTGGCTTTAGGAAAGACAAAGAAACCTCTGGGACGCTTAAAGGAGCGATGCAACAATTTTTGTACTTTGCGCAAATACCGCTTAAAACGGACCCCTAACGTTAATGACCTATGAAACACGCGTTCGTTCTTCACCCCACGCAATAGAAGTCCCAGAAACAAATTTAAGAAAAACGAGCAACGTTCACCCCCTCAACTCGCAGCCAGAACAAGCGGCCACGTGATCTGGAGCCGATTATATGCCGCCAGTGTGGATCATAGCCACGCGCTGGGGTTGGCAAAGCGCAGGACACGCGCTGAGTTCCAGACATTGTTATGACTCGGCTGTTGTCGTCGTTGCAGCGATTGGACACGGGTCACAACCCGAATGCTTCTCGAGCTAGCAATTATCACGAGCCCAAGTCGAGTGCTCACGCAATGCTCGGGTCCAATCTATGAACCGCATTCAAATATCGTCACTTGGGTGTACCGCGATCCCCGAGTTACGTCATCAAATTTTTCAAAGGAGAGATTGAATGAAAATGATCGCTTTGGTCCTTGAAATTACACCGCAACAAAGGAGTTTCTTGGCCAGTGGCGTTGCGTGTGGGTATCCTTGAGTCCCAGGTGTGCCAGCAAGCTCGTGTAGAGTGAAAAACATTCCAACTGAATATCGTTGCACCGGTCCTTTAAGCTTCGCTTTTAAGAGGAAATACCAACTCTGCACTCAAAATACACAAACAATAGCACGAAGGAAAAGTATTTTCCTCCTTATTTACGTGACTCAGCATTGGAGGGAATTACTACTGTAAGAAGACAAGGGGTAGTATTATTTCTAAAGAAATAATTCTTTGGAGTCGGGTCGGCAGCTCGAGTTAAATAATTTTATTAAACGAATGTCTCCATAAAAATGGGCTTCGCACTCATGTAGTCAACTTAACCCGTCGTCGAATCAGAGTAATACGAGGATTGCATTGGTGTGGAGTAGCCGAGCCGTGATCAACCAGTCAGTGGGTGCCCTGTCTCGTGAAGGGGACTAGAGCTCAAGCAAAATGAGCACGGGCCTGTGGCGCGTGATTTTCTTCAATCTTCGTTCATTGCATACTTCGAAGCCCAGTCAGTACGGCGTTTTTGGTCGACGGTTATCAGTGGGACAACGCTTCTATTTAAAGGCGAGCATTTGTGAGCCTTAACGTTCTATTGTATCGCCTCACATAAAAATACATTAAACTTGCAATGGTAGAAAGAGCCACCAAAGCCGCAAAAACACGCGGCCTCAGAATATGCGCGCGTGCGCCATGCCAAAGAGCGTAGACCGGTTCCGAGATTGGTGGCTATCAACATCCGGCTGTCAGTCGAGCAGCTGAGCATAGCGCTGTCAAACATGAAAAGAGAATAGCACGAATGTGGTACGGGAAACGCCAGCACGCTCGTGCTATGGCGTTCGCCGCTGTGGATACCCTTGTCTCCCCGAGAATAATCTGAATATATTTTATATGTATAAAAAAATCCCGCTCTTGTGATACAAAGGTAGGCACTGATCATATTAACACTGCCTGAAGGCAGATATCGTATATGCGTTCTGGAACGCTCTTAGTCAACAATTGGCAGAACGCACTTGGTTTGTCGATTCATCACATCTTTTGTCTGCTTTAGTGAATAGTTATTTTGCTCTTTTCATTTCTAAGCAACAATGCTCACTACTAAATACAAATTTAACGGGAGCCCGAAATCATGCACCTGATAGAAAATCCAATTATATCAAAATTAAAAGCCAAGTTCATAAATCTCGATGTTTGTCTTTCGCCCTGGAGCTCACCAATACGAAGTACTGATAACCAGACCACTTTTCATTTTTCTAGGCGAGGCCTCCACGCCGAGCCCCAAAATGGCCCCGGTTTCTGCGAGTGCGATCACCTTGTCTGACGTCAAGGCTGCTCCGCGGAGCGCTGGGCATGTCCTTGGAAGATTGCGAGACAACATGAAGGAAATGAGATATATTAAACAAATATCTGTCCATGAAGATCCTTACTTTGATCACGTCCACTCAGAGGCTTTCACAATCACCTTTTCCCACTTGGAACGACCTCCAATAGGGGGCATTCACTGGACGCCATGTTTGAGGGCGATGTTTACCCTTACAAAGATATGTATGGACACTCCTATAGTCCGTTGCAACCTAAAAGAAAGAAGGGCGAGGGTAAGACGGGCCGGGGAGTAGGAAGCAGACGGAACGCTAGAGGGGAGAGGGGGAAACCTCCTCCTCTCTTCAGCGTTCCGTCTGCTTCCTCCTCCCCCGCCCGTCTTACCCTCGCCCTTCGTTCTTAGGTTGCAACGGACTATAGGACGTTCTATAGAGCAGCGTCCATAGGCAGAACATAAGGCATCTATAGGCAGACCACGACTGCTGTTGCCTTCATGAAGTCGTTCTATGGCTGCCTTATAGAATATTGGCCCGCGGGCGTCCCATGGACGTCCTATTGACGATGTGAGGTCATCCTATGCCCTCTCTATAGTAAGACACTATATAGAATTCATACCGTCTACACACGATCTATACAGAGCCTGCAGAGAACCCATATGGGGTTGACAGAAAGTCCATACGGGGTCCACAGGGAAGCCATACAGGGTCTAAACATGGTTCTCATGGGGTCTGCAGAGAGGCCATACAGGGTCTAAACATGGTCCTCATGGGGTCTACAGAGAAGCCATACAGGGTCTAAACATGGTCCTCATGGGGTCTACAGAGAAGCCATACAGGGTCTAAACATGGTCCTCAAGGGGTCTGCAGAGAAGCCATACAGGGTCTAAACATGGTCCTCATGGGGTCTGCAGAAAAGCCATACAGAGTCTAAACATGGTCCTCATGGGGTCTACAAAGAATCCATACAGGGTCTAAACATGGTCCTCATGGGGTCTACAAAGAAGCCATACAGGTACTAAATATGGTCCTCATGGGGTCTGCAGAAAAGCCATACAGGGTCTAAACACGGTCATCATGGGGTCTGCAGAGAAGCCATACAGGGTCTAAACATGGTCCTCATGGGTCTGCAGAGAAGCCATATAGGGTCTAAACATGGTCCTCATGGGGTCTGCAGAGAAGCCATACAGGGTCCAAACATGGTCCTCATAGGGTCTACAGAGAAGCCATACAGGGTCTAAACATGGTCCTCATGGGGTCTGCAGAGAAGCCATACAAGGTCTAAACATGGTCCTCATGGGGTCTGCATAGAAGCCATGCAGGGTCTAAACATGGTCCTCATGGGGTCTACAAAGAAGCCATACAGGGTCTAAATATGGTCCTCATGGGGTCTCCAGAAAAGCCATACAAGGTCTTAACATGGTCCTCATGGGGTCTGCAGAGAAGCCATACAGGGTCTAAACATTGTCCTCATAGGGTCGACAAAGAAGCCATACAGGGTCTAAACATGGTCCTCATGGGGTCTGCAGAGAAGCCATACAGAGTCTAAACACGGTCCTCATGCGGTCTGCAGAGAAGCCATACAGGGTCAAAACCTGTACCTCATGATGTTTGCAGAGAAGCCATACAGGGACTAAACATGGTCCTCATGGGGTCTGCCGAAAAGCCACACAGTGTCTAAACATGGTCCTCATGGGATCTGGAGAGAAGCCATACAGGGTCTAAACATGGTCCTCATGGGGTCTGCAGAGAAGCCATACAGGGTCCAAACATGGTCCTCATGGGGTCTGCAGAGAAGCCATACAGGGTCTAAACATGGTCCTCATGGGTCTGCAAGAAGCCATACAGGGACTAAACATGGTCCTCATGGAGTCTGCAGAGGAGCCATACAGGGTATGGCTTCTCTCCAGTATTTTAGAGCGCAGCTCTTAGGCGCCCGTTTCCGGCTTGAGCGACGTTGGCGTCGCCGTCGCCGTCGCCGTCGGCGTAACCGCGTGGTGCATTATGGGTAAATTTCCCCGCTAAATCTAGCGGAAAAATTTCCCCCTAAATCTAGCGGAAAAGTTTCCCCGCTAAATCTAGCGGAACAATTTCCCCACTAAACCTGTCGGAAAAATTTCCCCCCTAAATGTAGCGGAAATATTTTCCCGCTAAATCTAGTGGAAACATTTCCCCGCTAAATCTAGCAGAAAACTTTCCCCGCTAAATCTATCGGAAAGATTTCCCCCGCTAAGTTTAGTGGAAAAATTGGCTATTGGAGGAAATCAAAAGACTATAAAATTTATAACCTTTTGATTGCCTCCTGTAGCCAATTAGCATTAACATGTAGATACACTAGCAATATACCGACAATAACCAATGGAATGGCAAAAAGTTGACGGTGGCGAAATGGCTATCCAGGTAAACAGGATGACGTCTCAATGACGATTAACATCTGTAGCTTGCTCATTAACTACTTGTAGACACCTATTGCCACTTGGTGATAATTTGTCTTTCAAATGGCATTAACCATTTTCATGGGGGTAAGTCTTTTTGTAGGGGGTAGCAAGACGCAGGGACGCCGCAGTGTGAACATCCAGGGTCAGGAATTGCGTCATTCTCATCTGTTGGCTTGTAGAACTTGGCACACCAAAAGGGAGTCACCATAATCTCAGTCTGGAGCCTGTGTAGTGCCAGTTGCTCCCATCGTGGAAGCCCGCGAGGGATCGAGTTGGGGTAAGCAGGTAGGAGCGCTGCTAGTCGCGCTTTTCGTGCTCTTTGTTCTTTCTTCTTTCTGGTTAGATTAAGCCCTCGTCAGGTGGAACGTCCCGTGGAACGGGCGAGGGGACCGGGCCTTGTGAGGGCTGAGTATTTGCCTGTAGCAGTGCCCTCGCGGCAGCGTCCGCGCGCTCGTTCCCTAAGACGCCTGCGAGGCCCGGAATCCACGCGATGCTGATTGTTTGTCGAGCCCCGGCTTGACGAACCAGTTCGCGCATGCGTGCAACTGTAACGTTGCATGTGCTCAACTGCTGTAGTGCACGCACCGCCTCTTGGGAGTTGGTGTATATTCGAGTTTCTGTAGTTTCTGCTCGTGGCATGTTCGTGGCTGTTTCAACGGTGAACAAAACTGCCAGAAGTTGTGCCATGCAACTGCTCCGTGTACATGCGGTAAGCTTGTGGTTCGTCTCTTTGCCTGTAGGGGAATGCCACGCGATCGCAGTGCGGCCGTTGTTGTCTCTCGCCGCGTCCGTGTAGAAGACATCCACGTTCGAGGCAAGCTTGCTGACTTCAGCGCGGTGGATGGCTACTTGTGTAGCACGTCGTCCAGGGCGGTCAGGTCGTTGATTACTGGGGAGGGGCTTGATGGAGTGACTGCCTCTGCATCCCAAGGTGGCGTCGGTGTAGGCATGAGTGGGCCGTCAATTAGGTCGGAACAGCCAATCGAGGCAAGAAAAAAGCGAAAGCCGTTTACAACTCCCTGTAATACCGAATTGGAGCGCAGCTCTTGAGGAGGAGGGAAGGGTACTGGAGGTGAAGTGATCGGGGGGGGGAGGGTCATGTGACCTTGGGGGTCACGTGACGATGCCGATGATGTCATCAGTGACATCACTGACGACGTCATCCGTGATGATGACGATGCCGATGCGGATGCCGGTGACGTCATCAGTGACGTCACTGATGACGTCATCAGTGATGATGACGATGCGGATGCCGGTGAGGTCATCAGTGACGTCACTGATGACGTCATCAGTGACGTCACTGATGACGTCATCAGTGATGATGACGATGCGGATGCCGGTGAGGTCATCAGTGACGTCACTGATGACGTCATCAGTGACGATGACGATGCGGACTCCGATGACGTCATCAGCGACGATGACGATGCGGATGTCGGTGACGTCATCAGTGACGTCACTGATGACGTAATCTGTGATGATGACGATGACGATGCGGATGCCGGTGACGTCATCAGTGACGTAACTGATGACGTCATCAGTGATGATGACGATGACGATGCGGATGCCGGTGAGGTCATCAGTGACGTCACTGATGACGTCATCAGTGATGATGACGATGACGATGCGGATGCCGGTGACGTCATCAGTGACGATGACGTCATCGGGGAGGTCACGTGACCTCGGGGGGTCGCGTGACTTTGGGTGTCACGTGACCTTGGGGGTCACGTGACCCTGGAGGAGGGGTCACGTGACCTTGGGGGCCACGTGACCTTGGGCTGACCTTGGGGGTCGCGTGACCTTGGGGTGACCTTGGTTACGCCGACGGCGACGCCGACGCCGCTCAAGCCGGGAACGGACCCCCAAGAGCTGCGCTCTAAAATTCGTCCGTGAAGAGTGCGAGATATTCGCCAAGCTTGACTTATCCGCATCTCCTCGGCAATCTCACGGATGGTGTTCATTTGAGCGGTTCTTTCTAGCTGTTCAACTGGTGTGAAGCGGGGGAGCCCTGTAACGACCCGCATGGCCGCTCTCAGCATGGTTACTAGTGTGGTTTCTTGAATCTTCGTAAGGAGGAGGTAGTTCAGTCCGTACACTACCTTTGAGATTAGGAGGGTACGGACGAGTGTCCGGAGGAGATCATCCTGTGCATTCCAGGCCTTACTCGAGATAGCCTTGAGCAAGCCTAGGCCCTCCTTCCACTGCGATTTTACTTTCCGAAGCCAGGTGACTGCACCGCCTTTGTGGTTAAATGGAACCCCGAGGATTTGACGGAGTTATTCTCTGTGATGGGGATTCCATCCACCCTCAGTTGGATGTCGGTACGGGCGCTCCTACGTCGGTTGGGTGCAACCATGTACGTGGTCTTCTCCTTAGATAACTCCAACCCTGATCGGAGGGCGAAGGTCATGACAACGTCAAGCGCGCTCTGCATGTAGCGTTGTTGGCTATCCGCCCCACCTGCCGTCGTCCACAGGGTGACGTCATCCGCATAAATGGTGAAGCGAATTTGTGGGACGGCTTCAAGGGCGAGAGCCAGGTCAACCATGGCGATGTTGAATAGTAGCGGCGACAAAACCGCCCCCGTGGAACACCAATATTGTTTGTTCTGCATTGGCCTTTGGCTTGTCCGATAGAAACCTGGAACGTGCGATCCTGCAGAAATGT